ACTTATGGCCATAAGTGGAAATTAGCGGGAGAACATTTTAAAACAAATTTGAGGAATCACTTCTTTACACAGTGTGTAGTTAGAGTATGGAATAGTCTTCCTGCTAGTGTAGTGGAAGCTAAAACCATGGGTTCCTTTAAATCAGAGCTAGATAAGATTTTAACAACTCTGAGTTATTAGTTAAGTTCTCCCCAAACGAGCTTGATGGGCCGAATGGCCTCCTCTCGTTTGTAAATTTCTTATGTTCTTATGTTTTCAAGTGACAGAGCCAGAGACTACATGTCCTCACATTGAAGCACTGTTTAATTTTTATTTCAGAACCATTGTTCTGCACTATCTTGCTCGACTGCTTCCAATGTTGCAGGATATGCGCAAAGGTTTGCAGCTGTACAACCTTCAAAAGGTGATGGAGCTGGACACTGAGCTTTGCCAGCCCTTGTTTGTTCCACTTGAGGATGACAAGGTAAATAACTTGTTTCCCAAAATAGCAGTTCTTTGTCACCCCTTATTAGAATCCCCATAACATATATAGATACTTTGTTGTTTTTTTAGTCATCCCAGTGCTTGTGCTTTTCTTTTATAGCCTGATGCAGACTTCATTATGGCACACTGCACACCCCACTTGAGCGAGAAAGGGATGATGAGGCATACACTTGAAATGGACATTCTTAACAACTTCCAAGATTTTCTACAGGAGGCAGAAGACAGTGGTAAGAGGCATCCTAGAAATACAAGACCAAGATTATCATTGTTAGTGCTATAAGTAGTGCAACAACTAAAACTTAGTTATTGATGGCACGAGATGTGGGCAGTGGTGGCTTGATGGTTAGGGTAGCGCACTTGTAATTGAAAGATTGCAGGTTCGAATCCCCCACCAGCAAGTCACCACTGAGGTACCTTGAGCAAGGTACCGTCTCCAAGCACTGCTCCCAGGGCGCTGAATTAGTTGCCCCCTGCTATGTCACGAAAGTCACATACTGTATGGGTCAAATGCAGAGGTCACATTTCATTTTTGTGTGCTGTGGTGTGTTGACAATGATCACTGATCTCTAAATTACAAGATGTTGCATTTCTAACAATTTGTGTGAAATACTTATGTAAATACAAATGATTTGTCTATCACTACTTAAAGTTAAAACTGATTGTGATTTATTAAATTATTAGGTGTGGGAACCGCTGCTCCAAAACAATGTGAGCTGATAGTTGAAGGTGAGGAATTGGACACAGAAGGGGAGCCCAATATACGAGGTCTAACAGTTCCAGCAATCCTTCAGTGGCTCACTGGCCAGGCACACAAACCAATACTGCCAAGTGAGAAAAACAGCTTTAAAATTCATATAAAGTTTAACCATGACTGTTACACTGAGCCCCATGCAATCTGCTTTCCAACCGTCACTGCCTGTAGCAACACTATTATGTTCCCAACTGCACATATGAAATCATATGCTGAATTTAGAAATGTAATGGCTCTAGCTCTGCGTTTTGGCAACACTTTTTCAAGAATATAAATCAGTGAATATTGTGTTTGAGGAGATTGGCTGACCAGATGTTGTTCATGTGTTAACCATGTTCCTTTATACAATTTTTGTACACAATATTTGTATGAAAAGAACTAAATCTGAAAAGTTTAACTGATTTAAGAGGCTGCAATCTATTTCATTTATTTCATTGATCAGTTGATCAAATTTGAGCTTAATGTAAAAAAGTATATTCTCAGAATATTTTATACAATTTACACAACATTTTGTATGTAAACTACAGTTATGTACAGTTATGTACATTTTATATTTTAAGTTTCATTAAGTGGCAAGGAATTGCTGTATGTACTGTAGCATATTCAAATAAATGTCCCTGCCGAAGCAATCAGAGGGTGATGTGGGGTCAAATGAAGATTGCAGCTGCTCCATTTCTTGAGGGGTAAATGGGATGTCCAGCTCTGCTACTTCAACTCCAGTGGATGCGTCATATGGAATTCCAGTACTTTCCCAGTCAATGTCATTGAACTCTGCATTCTGTAGTAACAGGTAAAGTACCAGTTAATTGGTGTTAATCGGTGGTTAATGTTATATCATTTTAAATTACTTTTATTACTACCTCTTCAAGATTTTCTTGACTGGTACAGGGGTTTTGCATATGACCCATAACCCACAATTGATTAGGTGTCAGATTTCCCTCTGTACGGAGTGGGTGGTTATCCCATCCTTCTTTGAATGTTACCAGGTCAGTGTTTAGGTGAAGGAGAAAGACATAATGAACACAAAACATGTGAACATTATTGAATCTATCAAGAAGCCCATCCTCTTCCAGACTGTGTAGCACTTCGTAGTAGATCTGTGTCACAGCTGTCCACACATCTCGCCACAATCTTTCGATTCTGGAATATTATTTAGGGAGAAATTGTATTAATGCTAATTTATCACCTCCTAAGACTTTTCCACAGTTGCATTTAAAATTACACAGACAACATATCCATACATTGGTTATACTTTTATACCTTTGATTGTGGACACTTTTCCCGGACACAAAACTGCCCCGCCCTGTTCCCTGAACTGAAAACATGCAGCGAGCTATTCCAACGTTCTCCACTCCTTCATCACCTCTTACCCTGTAGCATAGCACAGAATTATACACATTTATTTATTATATTTATTTATCTATACATATCACTTACAGCTAACATTACAGGAATGTAAAAAGTTTTATAAATAAAAAAGAAAAGAAATGCACCTTGATGGCCAGCCAGTTTTCTGTACAGCCTCCAAAAAGAATCTGAGAGCAGTGCTTGATTGGTTGTTGTTTGCAGCTTTTAAATACATCATGTAGTAAAATGTTATTTACCAAGTGGTAAGTTATATCATACAGCATTCAGCCTGACAAAAACATACAGTATGTAAGCCTCTCTCTCTCTACCAGATGCAGTCTTATACAACAGTCCCTACTAGGGCTGGGTATTGTGACCAATTCGGCGATTCGATTCGATTCTTATTTTTATGGTTTCGATTTGATTTCGATTTCGATTCGATATCGATTAGCTATCAATATTTCATTTAAAAAGTTAGTTTTGCAGACATGGGATCCATATTTTGATATAAATGCTGGTAACTGAAACTCTCCTACTGAAATACACATCTACATTAATAATAGGGTGCACACAGTTGTTTATTTTAAA